CACCCTGTCCTCGCACTCCCATTGGGTAAGCGGGTGCGGTGCTCACAGCCGAGACGCTTTCTTGTGTGCTCTGATTTCGGGGGAGGGGAGAGGGTGGGTGGCTGTATGCATGACAAACGAGGGCAAATAACTTTTGTGAATTGATCATTGTGGCGGATGCCTCGCCGCAAGAAATGGTAATTCCACTTTGACCACATTTGGTACTTACGCAAAGACTAAATCCCTCTTCGACTGACATGCGCACTACCACTGGTTCGCTTACTGGAAGCGATGCCGAAGTAGTGTGTTGAAGAACTGGTTCCAGTTCACCAAAACTACGGTATTCGGGTTTCTCTGCCGAGTAATGATTCGAGGATTTCAAATCTTGTTCCGTCAATCATTGTACCCACAGAACTGTTACGTTAGATCTAGCTGAGGCCGGTTATATGAGTTCACATCGCTGTGTCTTGTACTAGTTTCCTCTTCGTATCTTTCCTTCTTTTGAACTTTTCTACTACTTTCACAGTGTTTCCGTTCTTTCATCGGATGATGAACCACTGTGCTTCAATGAAATCAGCACCTTTTCCCAGCATTTCTGCACTTATCGGCCTCTTCTGTCTTCTAGAACAGTGTGTAACCGTTGTCTCGTGTTTCTTGACTCCTCCGACTCTGTATCCGGCAGTAACGCGTACGTCAAACACCAAAGATATCAACTATCAATGTGGTACGCTACTATTAAAAAAAATAGTAAAGGATAAAAGAAGTACAAACCTCAACAATGGATGCACGCAGTCAAGAACAAAGGGAGTCGGCCGAATCGCCTGAATCTAGACAAGGGAACAACGCACGTTCAACAACGTCGCGTTGGGCGAGCTTGTGTATCAGTGGAAGAAGGAGCGACCGCTGCTCTTATTTGACTTCAGGAGCCAGTTCATGTGGCATCCGATTGATGTGGACATTTGGCTCGGAAAGGGGGAGGTTCGTACACAGAGACAATAAAATGTGTCTGCAAGGGAGTGGGCGGCTCTGTTCGAGTGGCACTCAGAGCAGTTGCGGCTATCTTGCACATGAAGGGAAAACTGGGTTGAATGTTCGGGTCAACCATACACGACAGCTGCTAGCTCTACTCCACTTTCCTGTGGAGGCTTGAGAAGGGTAAGGGGCGTATTCAAGTGTCCCTATACTGGGGAATGTTTTTGGACACGCGTGTGCGTTCGAGTGGAAAGGGTCAAAGAGATGGCGGCCAACATTCTTGGAGGAAGGGATTCACGGTCATGCGGCTCAGAGGAAGGGGGGCCGGCTTTCAGAGGAGGATAACAATCGTATGTCGGTCGGACAGGATTTTCATTAGAGGTGGACGTGGAGAATTTCAAACTGTTTCAGCCGAATATAACAGCCGTCCTTAAGAAGGACCACACAGTATCTGCGCTAGATCAGCACGAAGGAGGGCAGTTGTTATTGGAGGTGCGCACCTATAAGAAATGCGGCACGTGGAGGTGGTGCGGTAACACGCTCGGATGCAGGCTCGCGCCGTGCCAGCTACTTGCGCCCTCTCCCGCCCCCGTTTTTTTACTTGGTCATGACACCGAACTCAGCTGGGGGGCGAGTGTGGTAGATGCGGTGTAAGTCACAGTTCCTATGTTCACCCTGCTGTGGCTCACTTGGTGGATATCTGCGGAAATGATGTTCGAATTTTCATAACCGGACGGAAGAAAACTCGTCTAGGGCCTCCTTTATTATGCTGACACATAGAAAGTATTGCTTATATATGTGTATTGGTAATGGCTTAATTCTAAATTTAGAGTAAGAATCCCCGCAGGCCATAAACCTCCATCTCATGCGGGAAAATGTCCTACCAATAAAATGGTGCTTGAAAAGGTAGGAGTCTACCAGTGCACGTCATCGATTACTTCTAATCAAAGTTGTAGAATACTGTGCTCGTGTCTTACGTTCGTAGAGGGTGTTTGCTTAGGTTCTTCAACCACCCAGACCCCACCTCACACATTCCCACTGCCCCTGTGTCCACAACTAGATAATTATCTCTCTTCCTTGTTTGACAGGCCTATAATTCCTTTCGTTCTCTTCCCTGTCGTTTGTAGCCTTTCACCTTCCGTCGTTTATACTATTCTACGGGTCTGGTTATTAATAGTTTCAAAAGGTGCGTTTTTGAGAATCTGCCGTTGGGGTTCTGCCATTTAGCTGCTAACGGTATCAACAATTGGTAGCTGGCATTGAAAGCGAAAGTTGGTTTGCTCTTTCTCCTCCTCCTGCCACTAATTGGCTCCCAAAAACCCAAGCCTTGCTACTGAAGTGTATAAGCAGCACTTTCGTTTCCTGTTCAAGTCAAATGTTGGTGCTGCAGACACTACCCCTGCCCCCTGTAGTAATTTATTCCCCCACAGCAACCTTGGAAAATCAGGGTCGATTCACTCGATCGGCATATCGTCTAAGTGGAGCACTGATGCATAAGGTCAGCATCAGACACCGAAAGCCGACTTGGCCATTTAGACTTGCGAGTTTTCCACTCTCGCACGTCTGACACTTGCGAAAGCGCAGGTTCATTGGCCTCTTCGGATATGCGCTGCCAGCTGTAATCACTGTCAGTACATTGTACAGAAAAACTCTCTCCTCCCCCTGTTCACTCTCAGCGCTTCTCCTATCTACTCGACCACCGTTTTTTTAAATATTCTAAGTTTGCTGACAACCCATAGGCTCGTCTATCCTTCGCACCGACCTACTGCTTTTTCTTCATGTTTCATGTCTAGGTCTGGTCAGTTCGTTATCATCCCACTCGCGATCAGTTGTTAGTGTCTGCGGGCAGCGACTCCTACGTTTGCCTTTACGGTTTACCCAGCTACTCCAGCGACGTCAAAGAGTTTCCTCCGTTTTCTACCAATCGGGTGCCTGCACGCTCCACCTCCTCCGGGCTGGCGGCCAATTTGGACGACCTGGAGGCGGCTTCTGCTACAACCTACGGCTCTACCATCTCTGATAAGTAAGTGGTGCATGCTGAGGTTTGTGTTCGATTAGATAGTCAGCTTCCTAAGCCCTCCTCTGCCACCTCACTTTGACTTGCTTGTCTTCGCCGGGATCAGGACCCGTTGAAGCCTAAATTAAGGAAACATCTATAGCCCTGAGACTTACTAAGAGTCAGTGGACGCATAAATGTCGACGCTCGATTTTGAGTTTCTTTCTTCGGTTGCCCGCCTAAAAAACTCAAGAACCAGGTGTTTTGGCCTCTCCTTTGCTAGACTTGCAAGTATTCAGAGCCCCGCCCACAACGCGTTCAGAGACGTGTAAGTGTCCAATGTTTCCGAAGGATTAGTTGTGCGTGAGGTCGATACGTTTTCTACTTATGAGCTGACGTAAATAGTCAATTCGTTTACCCTTCTTCGGTCGGGCGATGGATTGCTTCGTGCGCTGTTTGACATTTCTAGGACTCAGTGATCGGGCCGGCCCTACGATTGTGCTGTGTGAGCAGCCGATTCATGCATCCCTGTTCTGCTTTAGCCCATTTTTTTCCGTTTTCGTTTGCTGTCGGCAGTTTGACTGTAGCCTGTAACGACATCCATCGTGTTTCCACAGCATGGTGGGTTTCATGGACGGTGCTTTGCGCCTTAATTAGTTTAGTAGTTATTTTAGACTTGCACGGCATCTATCGCACTCTGTCCGCCCTCCACCCATCTGGGTCCGGTGCCAAGACACAGTTAAGACCACCGGAGGCGGGGTTGGGGGCATTGGCTAATGAACCTAAAGAACCCGTCAACGCGTACAACACAGGTCCAAGGTGTCACGTAAACGAGAAAAGGGTGGCCACAAACCCAACTGAGTGCGGGGGTCGTAGGGGACACATTCAAAGGAGCCATCACAACATACCTCTCCGTCGTATGGGAAGAACCCACTTATCGCGTCAGTTAGTAGTCCTTGATAGGCTTTTAGGAGTCTAAGTAGAGATTGTAGATTACATCGCTACAATCATCAGATCTAATCCAAAGTTGTTGGAGAAGGTGGAAATTACCAGGATGAGAGATTTTTTGCTGTCTCCGGCACCAGTGGCCACTGGCGAAGCCGAGGCTCGTCTTGACTGCTTCCAGTCAGGCCTGAGAGTGTGTGTGACAGCTACGGCAACTGCTTTCACAAGTTAAAGTGATGTGTGTTGGATTGCCCGACAAGCTGTCGTCTGTAGTGGCCACTGCTGCATCGGCTGTGGGATGGTGT